TACTAGTAAGGCACCTGTTACTACTAGCGTGGCACCTGTTACTACTATATCATCCCCTTTGCTCTGAGAATCTGAGAGGCATCCAGATCACCGACCGAGACAAGAAGGCCGAAGCTGCCGTCGGCGCGAAAAAATTTTTCATGAAATGTCGGCGCAAGTCCTATTGGCAATTTGTTTCACTGAGGGAGGGGCACAAGGTTTGTAGAAGTAACTGAGATGTTGCCGAAACTTCTGCTCCAAGACTGCTCACCCATTGGTCTGCCCTTGTGATCCATTGATATTTGCCAGGACAAAGAATCCCTCGAGAAGTTAAAAGAGTTGCATTCTCAGGGATCCACAGAATGCAGAGAAGCCTTGAGGATTTCTAGGAATGCGTCCCATGTCCACAAAGCTGTTCGTTCCCAGAGTGTGAAACCATAGAGTTGGCAAGATGGGATGGCAAAGGGTGGCTCGAAGCAACTAAAACAATCTCAGTGTGTTCCTCTCTTGTTCACAAGAGGTTTGGAGCAGGATGCTGGATATGTGCCGAAAAGGGGTTCGGTTTAAGTTATTTGTGTTTGTACTCCCTCAGACCAACATGTACATGGATCCTGAACAAGACTCATCCTGGTGGCTTTCAAGGGCAAGAATGCCGTAACATCACAACTTGCTAGCAAGAATCACCCGATCTTGAGCACGGGGAGACCAACTGCACTCAGCTTCCCGCAACATCTGAGGTACCAAGAGATGGTGAAGAATGACCCCGAAGCTGCTCTGGACAAGTTCGGTGCTTCTCTGAGATGGGGCTCCAGATAAAGAAGATCTACTGTACGGGATCAGTGCAGACGGTTCAGAAGAAGACCACCTTCCCTCCTAGAACGATTTGTGGATGCAAGATAATGCAAGACGATGCAAGATATAGCGGCCCAATGGAAACTCAACCCAAGTGACTTGCTGCAGTGCTTTTGCCAGTCTTGGCCCAGGTGGAAACTTTGTGGAAGAATGGGTTGAAGAGCGTTCTGTGAAGGCACGATGAACCTCCAGTCAAATTAACTTGCTTTAGGAATCCACCCAAAATGTGGCTGTTCTCATGTGTTCTCCATCCAATCCACCAGCGATTGGTTTCAACATAGAAGGATCGCCGGAGTCCAGACGGATGGTCCTCATCACTTGACATCGCAGAGTCCTCAGCATCACAAAGTGCTACTAGGAGCGTAAGGACGCTACGAACGGGGCTCCTGGCCTTACTACTAGGAACAAGGACGCTACTAGGAGCAAAAGGCATCGCTACTAGGAGCGATCGGACGCTACGCACGGGGCTCCTGGTTGAAGACGAGGCTACCACTGGTGATTGAGGCACTTGAACGGTGCAAAGATATGTATTCAGGGTCTCCCATTTTTTCCAGTCTAGCCCAGTGTGGCTTCCAAAGTGTTGATTTCATCAATTGAGGATCGGACGTGAAGATCCACCGAACTTGAGGTTTGAGTTGTCAACTTCTGTGGTTTGTGGATGACATTAGAGTGGTAATGCCCGTTGCTACTGAGCTACAAAGTGAATTCTTTCTTGCTATATAACAGTTTCTAATCCCCAAGAAGCCAACCCCACACGATTAACACCCAGAACATGGGGGGTGCCTGGTTGCCTGTCCCCACATCTGGGCGCAGCCCAAAGCGGCGTCCAACAGGACCAGGTCTTTGCCAGGTTCCAGCGCTTCCACCTGCTGAACAAAAATCATGCAACCCTGGCAGTATTTGGTCCGACTTGGTGGCAGCAGTTGTGGCTGCTTGGGAATCCGAATCGAGTCATGGAAGTGCCGAATAGTGCTAAAGGAGAAAGCCACGCTCCTCTCTGGGATGTCACATGTGAGCGCCAGAGTGAAAAACACCAAATGGCCAGCTGTGTCGTGCGTTGATTATACGTGCATAAAAACATTGGACTGAGTGGCACAAGTGGAAAAAGTGGTGGCATGCCAATGCCCACCGCCTGCTCCAAAACGTGAAAAGGTCATGGCCAACAATTCAATAACAGCTGCAGTACTTGTAGGTGTCTATTGACACATATATCTATACTTTCCTGATCTTTCATGGTTCAACTTGAGGTCTGTCTGAAACCCTCAGATTTCTGGCAGCCTCATGGCTCTTCACCTTGACAATCTATTTTTTTCCTTGCCAATCCTTAGAGGAACATGATCGATGAAATTAGGGTCTAAGCAAGACTATTCTGAGACCGCAAACGTCCTGGTTTGTCGCTTCGAGCTGGGCTTTGGCAGAGCTGGTGCCCGAAAAGTGATGACCAGGTGCTCCGCTACCAGCTCGGTGGTGAAGCTCGCTGGCAGGAAGCCCCAGCTGGGTACTTGAAGCATTTAGAGCTGTGCATGGTGAGTGGTTTGGAAGAGAAACTCAGGTCTGAATGACTTGGGATGTATCCTCAATGGTCAAAATGAAGCTGGACTAGCAACGACGACACCCATTGGTCTAAGTTTTGGTTGTGGGGACTATCAAGGAATGTCAAGCAAGACTATTGTTCTTTTGCCATTGACGGCTTGGACATGAGACATGGTTCCAACACGTCAGAGTCACAGCTGGAAATCCATGGTTTTGCGTCACTGACCCTCGGATTCCAAGCTTTGCAGTCTTGTCTCAGCTTTCTTCCGGCAGCTCAATGCGCATTGGCTGGCCACAGATCATCTCCCAGCTGGGAGATGTGCTGTGTTTGCTTTTGTGTGGGAGAAGGATCAGGGATCATTGGTAGACCAGAGTCTTTTTGGATATCACCTCATGGGTTCTCGCAGGTGGTGCACCATATCCATCAACAGACTCACTCCAACTTGACCGCCCAGGTTCTGCCAGTTCCGCCAGCTGACCGAAGCGCCGACTCCGTGCTCCAACTGCGGTGGGAAACGGATCTTTGAATGCCAGGCAAGTCCTGATCGGAAGGGGAAGTGATTAATGTTTTCTTGAGATATAAGTCTCTTAGTTGTTTTATTCACATGTTAACGGTTACATGCTACGTATGTTTGCAGGCCAACTTTATCATTCAAGGGTCTTCAATCAACATGTTTGTTGGCTCGGTCTTGGTTTGGCCTAGTAGTCACATTCGTCGCCCTCAGCTAGGCTGGAATCCCTCCGCATCATCCCCAAGTCCTTGAACCAGACCATTGCTTCGATTGTTTGACCCCATGTACTGCTTGTCTTTGCATGCATTGCTTCGATGCTGATGAGCCTAGCTGTACTTGATGCAGTTCTGTAGGCCCTTTGGGGATTTCCGGATTTCCTGGGTCCAGCCTATGCCGCCAGGTCCAGCCTATGCTTATTGCCCAGATGCAAGGCCCGGGGCGAATGTCTCGCTGGGTTGTGAGGAGAGAGTGGTAGAATGTGGTAGAGCAAAGGGTCCTGTAGTAGAGCAGAAGAAAAAAGGATGAAAAAGGAGATTAACAAGAAGAAGGTGTTTGGCCCCCCTTGTCGGTTGCAATTCTTGGCATGTGGGGCCCACCCCTTGCAGCATCCGAGTGGTGGCTTCTTGGCAAGCCACATCAAGCCACATAAGCCACTTATCACCGGCTTTTGGGGTTCCAACTGATGTGGTTTGATGATTAGAGTGGCTCTGGAAGAGGAACACAGAGGCTCTGGGGTAAGCAGCTGACCATGGCTGACATAGGTTCAACCATTTCGTCCCCATGTTCTATCATATTCTTAAGACATTTAAGTGGCAACTCTTGACAATTGGCCCCATCCCTTTGTGTCAAGGAGCTCATTGTACTGAGTCTCGTAACACACATGAAATGAGGCGTCCAGTGGATCAGACTGGTACTGGCACACCGCTTTCCAGCAGGGTTCTTTGGCTCCTTGTTATCTTCTTTTTTTTCAGATCTTAAGAAATGTTCCTTTGATGTCGAATTCTTGAATCTCACTCCTTTTTGCCATGGACTTCAACGGGACGATCGGCTGACCTGACGGACCGCCAGTCCTCGCGCGCCAGGACCTTTGCGTGATCGCTTGGACTTCGGGACCATTTGCGTCTATACCTGCGAGGCGCGCGTTTTGCGTTTTGCGCACGGTCGACAGCGAGACCCGAGGTGCCAGAGTGACACGAACTAGTGCACACGGGATCTAGACTGTTTAGAGTCTAGGAGCTTTGCTTTGAGTTTGACATTCACGGTCTAAAGATCATTTAGTTGGACGGGTGTGACTTGTCTCAAACGACCATTTGATTAGATTCTTTTGTTTTAATGCTGTAGGGAGCCAAACTTCATTTTCGTAGCTGAAGTATTCTCCTCCACAGCCAGCTTCCTGATCATTCAGCTGAGTCAAAGCCAGAGGCTCCAACTTGGTCCCCTCATTCACAGGAGAGCTGCGATGCAGATGCTGAGGCGGCGTGCGCCTACATTGAGGTCAGACATGCCAGAGTTCATCGAAGATCTAGAGTGTGTATGTGGGAGTCCTAACAAAGGATGTTTGACAGAAGTAGGGTTGGATTACAACCAGAGGAAGCTGAATTACAAGAACAAAGATATCGCAGAGCACCATTGGGTTCTCTTCCCACACTGTTCCTGAAGCACTTGTGTAATTTCGGTTGCCCCCATCAAGCTTCAAACTGGTATGCTTCACTACCTAGAGCACCAAACATGGTCGTCATAAATTGCTGTCATGGTGTTGAGCTTCTGTGCCTCTTCGCAAAAGGCAAAAAAAACGCATCATGGCTGGGTGGGGCCATGGGAAAACTGACGGGGCTGAGGGATGCTGAGAGGAGCAGAACGTGTTTGTTTGTTTGCCTAATTTTTGTTAGTTGTTATTGTTTTGCTTTCACACTTGAAGGCGCAATTATGCCATCACTTTGGGAGTTTTGGCTGCCCCTTGCAACTTGCCCATGTCCAAGCCCACTGGCTCCTTTCGCATGGGGGGTCTTTGTAGCGGGGGCTTGTTTCGCCTGCACCAGGAACAGTATTGTAGATCGCCTCAACCAAAAAGAAGGTTGAACAATCTTGAACGCGTCAGTGACATGGACGGCACAGCGGATGGGTGGTCTTGGGTCTTGGAAGGTGGAGCCAGTCCACTGAGTGGTGCCAGTGGGTCGGAAAATCCCAATTCCACCTGCAGGAGTTCGCCTATGTGCAACCCGAGCCAGTGGCCGAGTGGATTCCCAAATGAGACGTCAAAAAGGTCCGTTGCTGCGTTGCTGGGCTGGATGCGGTCGGGGTTCCAAAAGACAGGGGTCGTTCAACCTGGAGCCCCTGGTCTACGTATAGTGAACGACCTTCCAGGTGGGTCAAACAAGGTCTCCTGGTGCCAGTTCCCCATAGCATCATAAGGATCTGATCGCCCACCGTTGATTTCGGACTCTGTGGCGAGTTTGATTGCAGCTCATCCATTTCAGCCGTTGAGGAACTTTACTCACACCTTCCCCACAGCCTGAGAGAAGACTACTGGATAGACTTTGATCAAAAGAATATGTTGCTTCCGCATGCACTTCCGCATCGAGAAAAAGATGAAAAAGGCTTCGAAACATGTTGGATGCTGTACTGCGTTTGACGAAGAAACGACCGCATACCAAGCGTTTTGAGCCTTTCGATCGATGGTTTCATCTGGGCACACTGGCATGACGACTTCACCAGCTCACCCCAAAATCGGCAGGTCCACCTTTCACAGTGGTGAGACCGTTTGAGTCTTCTGAAGAAGAGTGTCTTGAGAGTTGTAAGTAGTTAGGGAGTTGCCAGCTGCATGAAAACCTTTTCAGCTCGAAACCTCTAGGAGCTGTTTACACGTCCATCATGGCCTGGCGCGCCTTGCTCTGCTGCCTTCTGGCCGAAGTGGCGACAGCGGAGACAGCGAGTTGCTCTCCGAGCGAAGATGAGGAGACAGCGCAGCGCACTTCGTTTGTGCAAATGGCGAAGCATCTGGAGAAACATCTGGAGTCTCGCGAAGCGGCATTGCCAGGTGGATTTGCGACAGGAGACGTGAGAAGACGTGAGATGCCGGTGCTTGATGGCTTAGGTTTTCTTTGACTCTTGGAGTCCTAGAGCACCGGAAAGCACAATCTGGTGCCCACGCGAGATGGTTTTTTGTTGCCGTTTAGATTGCACGAAGTGGTTTTGCTGAGATATGCACCAGTCGCTGATGACTATTTGGGGACTATTGTTGCTAACAGTTGTTGCGGTCTTTAGTCTCATGTCTCATGTCTGACGGAACATCTCTAACCAAGATGACTGCTCAGCCAGTTGCGCGTCCTCTGGATGGCCAGGTGTTTGCTTGCGATCTTTGAGTTGGGAGATTTACCGCAAGCCCATCCAGGAGGTGCTGAAGGATCACCCCAACTATGATGGAAACTCTACTCAAGCATGAAGAATAAGGGTCAAAAAAAGATCAACAGATCCAAATGCATTTTCTTCAGATTGGTAACGGCATGCTCGACCAACTTAATCATGCCAACATGCATCAGAAGATTTTGCCTGAAGACATGCTCTTGTGTAGCTCAGACAGAGCTTATTGCATGGATAAAACGTAGGTTCAGACTGGTTCAGATCCTTGCTGGCTGATCATTTCATACAGATACATCCCTCCGAAAGGGTCAGGAGGAATATATATATACACATATTTGTACCCATTCGATCCCATTCGTGTACCCATTCGTCACAACTCATTTGTAGGGTTCCCTTTGTTCGAGGGCTCTACCTGCTCGGAGTGGTTCAATTCTTGATGGAGAACTGACCACACCATGCACCACCAAAGAGGGGAACTAGAAAAAGGCAAATATTCTGAGATATTTGACTGACGATGCAACACTTGCGGTCGAAGGCGGAAGGACGAACATGCCACGCACATCGCCACGCCGTTTTGCCCGTCCTTCAAAGAAGCCCTGCACTCATCCCAGGATGGTGCATCTACGGCATCATGGGTGAGCTGTTCTCCAAGTGTGCTGTGGCCCGCGAGGTACGGCAGCTCGTTCCTTTCACCGACGTCATCCAGAAGAAGGAGAGCCCGATGCACTTGGGCCGAACACAGCGCTTTGTGCTGGAAGGATCTGAGGTGAACGTGGACCGGATGCATGTCCTGGATGATCTGCACCTCGATTTGGCGATGAGATGTGTGTGGAACTAAAACGTTTTTGCCTCCAGCGGGTATGGAAGAGGAATCGGTTCCTATCGTTCTTCAACTCAGGTAGCCCAAATGGACAGCGGTGTTTGTATCCTCGAATGGACATCAGAGATGCCTAGGATTTTTGCCCAGAGATGCCCAGAGAGCCAGTTTTTCGCTTCAAGGGGACAGACCTTTTTTTGACTCATGTCGCAGCCAGCGGTTTTGATTGAGTTTACAATACAAACAAGCTTTTTTTGTTTGGTCACCAAGCTGAAACAGAAGCAATTTGCACAAGTGCGTGGACGAGTCCTAGATGCTTCTGGATACTACAATGGTCTTTGTTTTGTGCCAAGTGTCCTAAAAGACCTGTTCTTTCACCTTTGCTGGTAGGTACTGTCACGTGAATGGCTGGTATGAGTTGAGCAGTGAAGCTGCAAGCAACTACAGCTATGTGGAAGAAGCCTCAAAAAAAGTATTGCCAGAGCTTGGAAGAGAAGGTCGCTTGGTTTGGGGAGTCGAGCTGGTTGGTCTAGAGGGGACCAAAACACCACCCACTGCTGTTTCGCTTCTGGGGCTGCTACCCGGTGGGTTCACATATACTGATAGAAGAGGGAATCCTACTGCAACATATACCATGAAGAAGAATGCATAATATCAATCCTTTTTGCAGGAAATATCCTCCAGAAATCCAGCCCCGGCCAGTAGAACTGACGCTCCTCCCGGGGATTACACGTGGAGGCTTTTTCGTATGGAGAACCAAAACAGCTAGTTGGTTTTTAGCTTCGTGAGGTCATTGTAGTCTTTTTGGGACGTCCCTAAGACGCGGAATTTGACGGGTTTGGGCTGTTTTCAGAAGCTTAGAGTCTTAGGGGACACACATCCAGTCTTCTCTTGAGGCACCACATACTTGCAGCAGCTTTAGCTAGCGCATGGCATGTTGGCAACTGCCGCAACGTCTGAGGTGCCAGGATACCGCACCATGTCTCTGGCCGATGTGACGAAGATCTCGGGCGAGAATGAGGATTGGCTCGCCAGCCTTCGTCAGGACAGGTTTGGGAGACAAAACCTTCAGTTGGATCAGGACACGGTTGGATCTATGTCAATACCATGTAAAAGCATGGATGGCCAGGGGGACCGCCCTGCGTAGGTGTTTTTCTTAATCGTTTGCAAAAGGGTGTTTGATGTGAGCAACTTATTACTTATATGCACGTTGACTTAGATTGTGGCGAGCTCAGGGAGTTTTTTTTTGGATCATGTTGGATCATTATTCAACACCAACCAAGCCACTAGTCTCCGAGTGCTTCTTATTAATTCTTACTAAAGAACGTGGGAATCGTCTTTGACAGGTAGTCACTTGTCTTGAGATGACACTCTCGCCTTTTCAATACATCATAAAACATCTATTGCATGTGTATCTACTGTACTACAAACCTTCTAATTACCAGCTACCATTTGTGATAAGTTCTTTCACCATGTGCCTTTTGCTGCACCAAGCTTCCTCCAACTTTAAGGAAGCATCGAAGGAATCCGCGAGAGAACACGGACACAACCAGGCATTTAGGCCATGCTAGCTCTAGTCCTGCTGCCCGTTTGAATTGCATCTATAATGAAATCGTGAGGTACCAGTGTTGATGGGGTTCTGCGGACTGGGGGTTCACCTGATTCGGCCAAAACAGGACCTGGTGCACTTGCCTCAGAAGGTCTCGAATGGGCTTCTGGCCCTAGGAGCTGCCAAGTGTTTGATGTCTGGAACGGGAAGTGCCGCCATTTGCGACATGGCCCACTGTGCCGCTTGGACGGCACCCTAGACATTTTTGTGTTTGTGCGTGCTAGATTTGGTAGTGGCATCAAGATGCTTCAAAGGAACCACGGACACTTCCTACCAACATCCTCCAACAGGTCAGCAACTATTTCTTAGGACTTCCTCGCTTCCTAGGGATTCTTATAAGGGATTCTTATTCTTGTTTTGCATTGACAATTTCTTCTCACTTAGGCAAAGAAGAAGGAAGAGAAGCTGATGCTTCAGCAGAAAAAAACTAGGCTGATGACCTGCTGTTTAGGCTGGATGCTTCAGTGCTTCGACGCTCTGATTGATTCGATATCATCACCGACGGGAAATGGAACTGCATGGGAGGCTTCAAGTGTTCTCATGGTGCCGAGAACAGTCTTGAGTGCCACAAGCTGCACAGCAAGATGTGGCCAAGAGAATCTGGCTCTTCCACATGCTTGTTCCGCTCGCACGCAGCCTGGGGATGTGAGCTTGTTTGGCGAATTATCACTTTATTTGGACATTTGGTCTAACATGGTCTAACTATGTTATATATAACTGATTATATATCTCTTTGATTCTCTTTGCTACAGACTCCAGGGATTTTATATCTTCAGTGGATGTTCCTTGAAAGCTCCAGTCAAAAGAATCGAGTCCAGTCCTTCGGGAGACCTTCGGTCCTTCGCTCCGTCTCGCGTCCGATTCTTCCTGCTCGTCTCATTGACCTGCTCGTCGACCTGAACATGGATCGCTTTGATAGATTCACAGATTCTCAACATGCGTTTCATATGTTTCATGGCTTCATAGCGTGACTTGCTTCGCTCATAGATCAATAAATTCAATCACCAGATGGTGCCGTGAACTCTTCCATCCCCCGGCTGGGCTTATGAGGGCAGGCTGGGCGGCTGAGCTTTCCCGGCAAGCCCGTGCCGCGTGGCGTTGCCCGGAAAATGGCCGGGCGCTGACGGGGTAGGGCGATGACGATCCAAAAAAAACAACACCCGACATCGCCCGGCTCTATTTTGCGGGTGCACAACTCTCCCTCTATATTATATGTTCTTTTTTGGAATGATGACCCATACCCAGAACAGACCTTTTGATTGGAGGGTCCTTTCGGTGAGCCATTGGGTCGCGTCGTGGTCGCGTGGTTTGTAGGGGAGTGCCCACGTCCGACTCCACATACCCGTGGTGAATGGGGCCTGACCTCTCTTTCATGTCGATACTTCAAACACCAAACTCCTGTGGGCCTGTGGCAGTCAAAACACAGAAGTTACTACCAGAAGCACCCTTAGAAGCCTTCTGTGACCTTGGATGTGGAAGGTGGGACACATTGACTTCTCCGAGCCTCCTCGTGCTTCTCTCGCTGCGTCGATCGACCACTGATTTTTTGTCGGCTCGTCTCAGTGTCACCAGTGGCTCAAAGAGTCCGACGATGGGCAGAGCCAGGTCTCATGAGTCTTGGCGGGTGCATACCGGGGGGATCGGGGGGGGATCAGTCTAGGTGTCCACTGAAGACGATACGGTACCAAGAAAGATGCCCACAAGCAAAGGTAACCAGAATGTTGTAGGTGTTGGAGATTGACTCCCACTCAGAGCAACAATCATGTCAAAAGGGTCTCTGGCTACTGTACCGAGCTACATAATAGTATGAATATTGGTCGCTGCATATTGGCTTTGCCTGCTTTTGCTAGAATTTCTGGTGCAAGGTTCGGGCGAATCAACCTCCACAACACTCTAATCCAGCTCACATATGGTACGCTATGCAGAATGAGCAGGTTGAACAACTATACAGATTCAAGACATTTCAAGACCTCACTTTAACTCTTCGCAATAACCCGACATAAGCCTCACATAATTAGATCTGTCGATCTTTGGCTTGAGGATCAGAGCGAAAGAGGCAGGAATCACTGAGTGTTGTTTGTGCGCCGCACAACCCGGTAGATCAGACATGTGAACTGTGATCGCCGCGCTCGCCTCAAGCTCAGTGGCGGGTGCGCGCGCGACTTGAGCAATGGCTCACTGAAAAGAGCGCGTGTGCCGCGCTGATCGACTTTCGTGGACGAGGACCTCGAGAACCTCGTGACCGGTGATCGAAGCTTCGTTACCAACATTGGTAGCGGAGCGCTACCAGGGCGCTCCAAGAAGAAGAGAAGATGCCAGGACCTTCAGCCTCCGGTCCCTCTACTACCTCCTCAGCTTCAGGTGGATCCATCGAGACGATGAAGGACACCTACATCCCGGTTTTCAATAACCGAGTGGCTGACTACAAGGAGTGGCGGCAGCGCATCATTCTCTACAAGAAGAAACTGGCCCTTCAAGGAAAAGAGAAGGAAACAATCTTGAACCTTCTCACAAGCCTCAATGGCACAGCATGGAAGCAGGTCGAACACCTCGTCGATAAGGTAGCCGAGGCCTCCGACGGCTTTGAGCAAGTGCTGAAAGCATTGGATGCAGCCTTTCAGTACGATGATCGGGTAGAAATGCCCAGAGCTCTCGAGAAGTTTTTCTATCAACTGACGAGGAGGAGCGACCAAACGCTCCTATCTTACTGCTCAGACCACAGAGAGCAGCTTCGAGAAATCGAACGCCACAACATCCGCATCCCAGACAGTGTCAGTGGCTGGATGCTTCTTCGACGGAGCAACTTGACGCAAGAACAGAAGCACTTAATTCAGTCGCAGGTTGGCCCCGAGATGAAGAGGGCAAAAGTTGAAGAGGTCATGTACTACCTGCTGGGACAAGACTTCAAGTCAAGGTCAGAGCAGCCAAAGACCTGGAACAAGCATGCCAAGGGCAAGGGCAGATGGTATCCACGTAAGAGCCAACAGGCCTATGCAGCTGAAGACTATGACCTCGAGTATGACGACGATCTCGAGGAGACCTACGTTCAGGCCGACGATGAGCTCTATGAAGAGGATGCCAACTATGAAGACTATGAGGATGACGGTGCCTTCGGTGGCCAGGATGAGGAGCTCTACTACACGGAAGAACCCTGGCCGGAGGAGCCGGACCCGGCTCTCGAAGAAGCCTATGCAGCATACCTTGATGCACGCCGGCAATTTGCCAACCTCCGTGCTGCACGAGGTTTCTATCCAGTGGTGGCACTGTCGAACCCTTCTGACATGCCAGGATCAACCTCGTCCTCGACTACCACTTCCCAGAGGCCAGTGACCAAAGGCTCAAAAGGGAAGAAAGGGAAAGGCAAGGGGAAACCACCACCCCAAAAGGGAACGGCTTTCAACAGGGGACGAACGGCCTTAGACTCCATGCAGTGTTTCAAGTGCGGACGTTTCGGGCATGCAGCGGCTGAGTGTCCAATGAACAAGACCTCGCAATCACCCAAGCGAACCAAGACCGAGACCTCCACAAAGACTTCAGGACAAGCCTTCATGATGCATGATCTCAGCCGAAAAGGGACTCCACAACTCTCTGAGCAAGGTTGGTTTGGATTGCAGGATGGTGGAGCTAGCAGCATGGTATGCGGCCATGAGACTCTCATGAACATCATCGAGTACATGAACCAGCGTGGTGTGCCCTTGGAGAGATACACCTTCCATCCAACCACGAAGATGTTTGGCTTTGGAGGTGATGCGATGAGGAAGGCAGAGTGGACCGTGAAGCTCCCGGTCTACGTGGATGGTCAGTCAGGCATGATCGAGTGCTTCCTGGTGGACGGCGCTACGCCTTTGCTTGTTGGGCGGCCCATCCTCAAGTCTTTGAAGGTGAAGGTGGACTGGGATAAAGATCTCATCTCCTACGGCGACCAAGACTGGAAGCCCGCCATCAAGGGCGACCGTGGTGAGTACCTTCTCAGGTTGGATGATGGAGTGCAAGGTGATCCCGAAGGACATAACTTGGCATTTGACCTGGTGACAACCGAGACCTTCGAGATGGTTCAACGGTCAGGAACGATGCATTCCTCCACCTACACGCTTCTTCAGTACCTTGAGGCCACCGGGCGAGATCCACCAGAGCATTGCCTTCAGGTCGACGGTGAACCCTTCCAGGACAACCTCACGGATGATGATGAACTAGTGATGGATCAACAACCTCAAGGGCACAACGATGAACAGGTGGCTGAAGTGCGGAAAGAGATCACGGACAAACTCCTCCGAGGCATTCGCTTTCATCATGCTACGATGTTTGCCCACCGTCGCTCTGTGTTAGAGCAAGGACTACGTGCTCATGAAGAAGGAGCCAAGGTGTTCTGGGAAGTTTACTCAGGCGAAGCCGGTCTCTCTTTGGAGATGCAGCGGAGAGGCTACCTGGTGTACAGCTTCGACACCAACACCGGCTGGAACTTTGATCTTCCTGAGCACCGGAATGCCTACTACAAGTTGCTGGAAGATGTGGCGCCAGACTTTCTGTGGTTGGCACCAGCATGCAAAAAGTGGTCCAAGATGCAAGCTCTCAATGCCTTGACCCCGGAGCAGGAGTTCGCCTTGAGATGCGAGCAGGACTATGAGGAAGCAGTTCACTTGAAACTGGCAGAACGCACTTTCGTGATCCAATACAATGAAGGAAGAGATGCAGCCATCGAGCACCCAGCGGGATCCAAAGCATGGACAACAAAGACGCGGTCGAACCTCCCTGGCTGGCCATGTCGATTGGATCAGTGTGCTTATGACACCAAAATTGCCGACCAGTATGTGAAGAAGCCTACAAGGTTGCAGCTCACAAGTGCTACCATGGCAGACTACCTGGCTTGGAGATGTCCCGGAGATCATGAACACTTACCTCTAGAAGGGTCCTTGCCGGGAATTGGTTCTTTGACCAAAGCTGCCGGAGCCTACCAGACAACCTTCTGCTACCACATTGGTGCGGCAATCGACTGCCTCTTCTATGAGCCTGAGGAATTTGCCCTGGAGGGTGGAGAATGGGACTTGGAAGACATGGGAGAGTATACTCCCTCAGTGGCTGGAACCGAACAACGAGAACCAGATGAGCCCAATCACGAACCGGCGCCTCCAGCAGAACCTGAAGTCAGAGTGCAAAGCTATAAGGCTACTGGAGTACTTCAACGACTGCAACGACAAGACCGCCAGCTAGCCAAGCGAACAGTGAGTCGACTCCACAGGAACCTTGGACACCCTACTAATGCAGAGCTCAAGCGACTCTTGGAGATGAAAGGAGCCTCAAGTGTTCTGATCGAATGTGCAAAAGAACATGACTGTGATGTGTGCCGACAGCACCAACATCGACCACAAGTACCAGTCTCCTCAGTGCCTAGTGTGCAAGAGTTCAACGCCAGGGTTCAAGCTGACACTCTTTGGATCAAGATTCCAAACATGAAGAAAGCTCTTCCCATCCTGATGATCAGTGACACAGCAACACGTTTTCTGGCTGGACGAGTGATTTGGAAGGAATCACCAGAAGAGTTCATCCTAGCTGTGGAAAGAGCCTGGGTGCGTGTTTTTGGACCAATGCAAACCCTACAGGTTGATGACCACAGGAGCTGGGCCTCAGACTATGTCAAATCCTGTTGAGCTGAGGATCTCACCTGGACAGAGTCACACACGACTTGCCATCCTGGAACGACGACACCAGGTGACCAGGCGAGCATTGGAACTATTTCTGGCTGATCAAGAGCAAGGCAACATATTGCAGCCAGCAGAACCTCGTGAGAAGCTGATACAGGCCTTGTGTTATGTCATTCCTCAGTGTCCGAGGTTACAGTCCAGTGCAGTGGGTCTTGGGCTACACGCCACACATTCCTGGGTTGCTGACAGAAGAACCTCTGCCACCACCATCACTTGATCCGTCGGACGAGTTCTTGCAGAAGCTACAGAGGCAGAAAGCAGCAGCCAATGCCGTCTTCTCAGCAGATGTTGACACAAGACTGCGACGGGCAATGAACAGGAAGTTCGCTGGTCAGCTGACCGTGTTTCATTTGGGGGACATGTGCTACTACTACCGAGATGGGCCAGGTGGCATAGGACCCAAACTACGATGGCGCGGACCTGCCCGCATTGTGATGGTTGAGCAACTCGATGGCGGACCTCATTCCAACATCTACTGGATCGTGCACGGCACGAACCTCTTGAGAACAGCACCAGAACATCTTCGACCTGCACCTGTGGAGGATTCTGGCAAGGCAGCTGATGATGATCCCTTCTTCAAGGCACAGCAAGCCCTGCAGAACATTAGGAGCAGGGGCACGACGCTCTACACCGACCTCACCAAGACGAACAAAAGACAAAGACATGAAGTCTCTAGTGATGAGGAAGATGAAGAGTTCGACGATGACCACATGGCAGGAGGAGAAGAAGGGGAGGTGAATCCAGGATTGGCTGACTATTGGCAGGTCAGTGATGATCAGAAGACCTGGACCCGTGTACACAATGTTGAGCGCAAAGAACTCTTTGTGCCAGTCAGCACTGATGATGTCCCAGTAGACCGTTTCCGGAACCAACGTCTCACTGTCATCAGACGGAACCCACCTCATCCGGAGCATCTTCGACTACGAGACGATTGGCGAACGATTGATGCTGGAAGGAACCTTCACTATCGGTGGACAGGGACAACGACCTTCCAGATAGATGATGACGTAGAGACGGCCTCAGATGACACCTTTGAAAAATTGGTGCGAGACGAACCGGAAGAACCTCCGGAACCAGAGGAGGGATCACCAGAGGATGATCAACCACGAACGTCAGCATCAGCAATGCCACCACCGGCAAACCCAGCAGCTAACGCACCAGCAGATGCTGCACTTCAAGAACCACAGAACAACAATGAAGCAGATGAAGTACCTCTGGAGGAACCGGCAGCACCAAGCAATGAAGCATCACCACAGGAGATGCCTCCAGCACCAGTCCCGGAACATCAGAAGAGGCTCTATGAATCCACCGTCAATGAGAGCTTCAGAAACCAGAGAAGCCGAGTGGACAAACAGGAGACATTGTCTTTCTTGAAGAAGCCAACGGTGTATGGACCCATGAAGTCAGAGACTGCCCGGTCAACGCCATATGATCAGGTGGCCACAGAGGACATGAACATGCAGATTGATGTGGATGTCCAGAAGATCGATGATCTACCACCAGGTTGGCACCTTGAAAATGGATGGCTTTGCCTAGACAGCCCGGAAGACGATTGGGTCATGGAAGGAAATTGGCTCATCAGAAATCACTATGTCCCAAGAAAAGAGGCCTATCGTCCATTGGATGAAGAATGCTCATCGATCTGAACTACCTGGTCAAGGAAAGAGTGTCAAGCACATCTCACGGCATCTTCAAGGACAGATGGAAGAGACACAGCCGAAATCCTCTTATCGAGGAGGCCTACTGGACGGGACAAACCAAGTTCAAGATCAAACCCAACTGGCGCGAACAAGCACAACAGGACTACAAGAAAGCCAGTAACGGGTACAAGACCCTGAGAACACCGTCAGACAAGATTGCCAAGAAGAAGAAGGGCAAGGACGAGGTGTTCGAAAGGTACATGAGTGTGGCCGACCGTCAAGCCTTCATCCAGGCGAAGATCAAAGAGCTGGAGAGTTTTGTTAAGAATGAGGTATGGCTCTATGATGAGGAGAAGAACGCAGACCCTGAGCGAATCCTCAAGGCCCACTTCATTTTGACTTGGAAGAAGAATGAAGATGGCACTCCAAGAGCAAAAGCAAGACTCATCACACAAGGATTCAAAGACCCAGATGCACTTTCCGGAGCCTTGTCCACCAATGCCCCAACTTTGACCAGACTGGCAAGAGGCCTGGTACTATGCATTTGCCAACTGTACAAATGGCACATGTTCACCTCAGACATCACGACCGCCTTTTTACAGGGCAAGAACTTTGACAAGGAATCCAAGCGAGTGATCTGGATCAGATTGCCACGTGACGCCAAGCAGCTTCTGGGCATGTCACCTGATGAACCAACATTGATGAGATTGGTGAAGCCAATGTATGGACTATGTGATGCTCCCCGTGCATGGTACGAAGAGGCAACAGAACGCATCCTTCGAGTTGGTGAAGGCAACATCCAGAGACATCCACTGGACCCATGCCTCTTCATGGTCTATCGACCTCTGGACCCAGAAAAGATGACGGATCCAACGGTGGAGCGAGGACTGGCCTGCATCTTTGGCATACACGTTGACGATTTAGTTGGTTGCGGTGATCTGCAAGACCCGTACTTCCATGAAGTCAAAGAGAAGCTAAAGAATGTCTTCACGTTCCGTGAGTGGCAAGAGGGCAACAACCTTGAGTACTGCGGGAGCCAAATCAAGAGTCTTTCTGAAGATGTCCTCGCCTTGAGCCAAGAGTCCTACATCCACAAGGTGAAGCCAATACCCATCGCCAAGGAGCGAGTGAACAGTCCTGACCTTCCAGTGACAGAACGAGAACGATCTCTACTACGTGGACTGATAGGTGGTTTGCAGTGGCCTGCCACCCAGAGCTCACCTCATCTACAAGTCGGAATTTCCCAGCTGGCTGGTGAGACTTCAAAGGCAACAGTGGCAACACTTCAGAAAGGCAATAAGCACCTGCGCTATGCCAAGGAGTACGCCGACGTGGGACTCCAGTACAGATGTCTTGGAGCCAAAGAAGACATGACCTTCATCGCATACAGTGACGCTTCCTTCGCAACAAGATCAGACTTGAGCAGTCAAGGTGGATACCTCCTGGCTATGTGCCACAAGGACGTCGCCAATGGCAAGTGTGAAGGGCACTACAATGTGATTGACTGGAGAAGCTGGAAACTACCACGTGTGTCAAGAAGCACGCTTTCAGCAGAATCCCAGGCAGCAAGTGAAGCCGCAGATAGTCTCATGTACACCTCCTTGTTCTGGAACCTCATCTTCAAGGCATTGATGCCACTGGATTCCGTGAGCACTGGACATCTGCAGAACAGTCCCAAGCTCATTGTGGATGCCAAGGCCTTATATGATGTCCTGGTGAAAGATGAGATCCAAGCAGCAACCGGAGCAGACAAGAGAACCACCATTGAGGCTCTTGTGTGTCGAGACAAGCTATCATGCTGCAATGGAAAAGTCATGTGGGTATCTTCAGAGCTCCAGTACGCTGATGGTCTGACCAAGGATTCAGCAGCTGCTCTTCTTGGACAACGACTTCGATCTCACATGACAAGGCTGAAGAGTGACGAGACCTTCCAGGCTTCCAAACGGAAGAATGTGACCAACAGGAAGAAAGGTGAGAACATGTATGCCATCAGACGACCAGAGAGAGCATTGTTTGCAATGTTTTCAAACTACTTCCTGGACACCGTGAACGCTTTTGAAGAGAAAGATGGTAACTTCACGGGCACTATGAGCCACTACAAGGGGGAGGAACATGACTTGATTGACTATGTCTTGTTGATCTTGACGATCATGTTCATCGGCATGTTCACCTGGCTCTTCTGGAAGTGGACACAAGGTCCAAAGATTGTGATCCTTGAGAAGAAGTTCAAAGAGAACGATGCCCAGACAACTCGAACCGGACTTGAAGAGCAAAGACTGGTAGAGCTGCGCAAGGAGAACATTACCATCACCAAGCAGAACCAGAGATTGAAAGAAGAGTTGGCCGTGTCGGAACAGGCACGACAGGACGCACAAAGAGAACTACGACTGCTGGCAAAAGAGCACCACAAGATGAAAGAAATGCAAGAGGCAGATTTCAACCAGAAGTTCAAAGTGGCAGGACAACAGGCTTCCTTCAAGCCAGTCTATCTAGCAAGCCAAGGAGGCTGCTGGCATGCGTCGAGGGCTTGTGTTGCTCAGAGGACCGCGAACCTGGTCTACGAACGACAGCCTTGCAAGGCATGTGCCCATTTGTTCTTTGACAAATGCACCCCGACAGCATCGGGCGAGGGTGTTCATTGGGTTGGCGGAACCCACGGCACGTTGTTCGGAGTAGCCACCTCAAGTGAAGACTGGTGAGAAGTGAGAGGCCGCGAATTTGAAATTTCCTTTTTTCTGAATGATCTTCACCGATGTTGTTTGTGCGCCGCACAACCCGGTAGATCAGACATGTGAACTGTGATCGCCGCGCTCGCCTCAAGCTCAGTGGCGGGTGCGCGCGCGACTTGAGCAATGGCTCACTGAAAAGAGCGCGTGTGCCGCGCTGATCGACTTTCGTGGACGAGGACCTCGAGAACCTCGTGACCGGTGATCGAAGCTTCGTTACCAACACTGAGTTACTTGAACCACTGATGTTGGATTGGTTTGGCAGTACTGTACTGTTTGATGATTGAAAAATCTTGAAAAAGCTATCTGAGGTGCCCCCAGAAGTATATTCATAATCTGAGATAATCCGCCACTGCCATGATATGTTATGGCACGGTGTGGGTGTAGTCTAGGGTTATTTACTCGGCACTGTTCGTCAACGAACTTGTCTCGTCCAAATCCGAGAATCAAACCTAAGACCTAGGGATTGATTATTAAAAAAACATGTCGCAAAACCAAGGACCATCAAAGGACCATCAAGGACACGTGGAGGACCGAGGACCGATCGCTTTTGGACGCTGAGGATCTAAGGAGCAGCCTTGAGGACCGAGCCGGAGCCGCCGGAGCCTTCACGGAAGATCGATAGCGCGATGCGCAAACAGATGGGTTTCTATTCCAAGTGAGGTTTGACTGTATGAACCTTTGATCATTTCCAGAATTGTGCAGGAAGGGTTCTGAGTGATGTTTGTGGTGACTATAGTGTTGTATTCAAGGTGAGATTTGAGGACTCCCGGGTTGCAGAAGTTCAAACAGATCTGTAAAGACTGGCAAGTCGGTGGTCTGTTGATGCTGAGTGTGAAACATACATTGGGCCTTGAGGCAAGGGTGCCAGCGTCCCACAATCTGGGATGTTGGGATGTTGGTGATTGGGACTCTCTCTACCCAATTAGAAGTGATAAGCCTTGGCCCCCCCAGAGCACAGTCCTTTAGCAAGCATAGCTGCAGTTTTCTTCATCCTGTCCGGATTTGCTGCTGACGAGCCAGGACAAGAAGCCAATTGAAGGTGCAAAATTATGGATAGTTCAAAACAACGTCCCGGTGGCCGGGTCGCCAAGCTCTAGTTGGGTCGATCCATTTGCCCCCCAGTCCCCCCAAACGGATGAGCGTACCGTGAAGCTTGACACAGAGCCTTTTGGACAGGCAAAGCTCGCACACATATACCTCACCCATCCCCACCCATTGACAATGAACTATATATGTCTTGGGTTTGTGAGGCATCAAAGTGCGCGGATCATGAGATGTGAAATTTACCAGTGGATCTTCCTATCCTTCTGGGCCCAGTTTCGGAGGGAGAAGTCATCCATCCGTGGAGGGTTTCTGACCAGGAGAGTTTAACGATCACGCGCAAGCGTTTTTTTTTGGAACGTCCAAAGATGGGAACTCTGCCTGTGAACTTGAACCGGTGCCTTAAAAAGTGCACATGAATTCAATTATTTGTTTCAACTTGAGATTTGTTTTCATAATTTCATATATTTTGATTCTCCTTTGAGGTCGACCTCGAGAAGGACAGCATCTTTAGCAGCAACCTGTCCTGGTCGACCCCTGAGGTTTCAGCATCGGTCTTCCGCAGCGGCCGAAGGAAGGGTCACTTGAAGCCATTAGGAATAGAGAAGATGGAAGACTTACAGCAGGGATTTGCCTAAGTCATGTCAAGAGACCAACTAATCAGAAAAAAAACAATACACATTCAAACATGCTTGGCTGAAGCCAGATCCGTGAATGTAGCAGATACATGATACATGCAGGTACTGCAAATTATGAGTCCTCCCAGTTGCTCTGGGATACTGAGATCATACCGATCTGGGGTCTTTGATCCATCTCCAGACATCTCCCCACCGTGTGAGCTCCGCCCCCCAGGCTTATGCAGGAAGCCTTGTCCTGTTCAGGGCGAGCCGAGGGGCAATTCGATTATTGCGATGATAGACACTCGGCCCGTTGAGCTGCAGATGAGCGGTCGATGAAGGTTGGTTTGTTCGGAGGTGTAGCGGTTTCGCTGCAGTCTCTGCACCGATTTCAAGCTTCTGGGAGATGGACGCGCCTTGACTCACCTATTGAACTTCGAGGATCTTGGGTTGATGGTCCAAAAGGAGGGATTCTAGGTCTCAGCAATTGCATCAAGTTGGAGGGAGATGAGATGGTCATCAGGCGACCCATAGGCGACCTGGTCCCCGGATGGTGCGTCGCGTCGGATGCCCTCGGATGGGCTCGCACCGAGGATCTTTGGTGCAGGACAGTCACATGCGATGCACTTCTTCCTAGTAGCTTCTTGTTCCTACTAGTGAGGCCCTTGTTACTGGAAGCGATGCACTTGTTCCTAGTAGCTTCTTCTTCCTATAGTAGTAATGCCCTTGTTGCTAGTGGCGATGCCCTTGGCCCAGAAATTGCCTGGGAAACAAGAGTCCACAAAAAACTGCACATTCCGCCCTGGCCTCAATGTGAAGAGAGTGTTCGACAAGCAGTTGTTGGGGGGTACCTCCCAAAGCCCCCTTGTCATTTCGCAGACAAGACTGGATGATGAAGGGACCGTTTTTCGTTGCAACGGCCTGGCCGCATTCAGGATTCTCCCATCTTCGCACGTCGTACTGAAGCTTTTCAGTGCAGATCGGCGGTTTTGCTCGGTGGATGGTGTTGTTTGCTGTTCAGTTCCAGGTGAATGGCAGATCATCGGTTTCCTGATACTCATAGCTGGGCACATCGGCCATAGCTGGGCACATCGGCCATGGCACTCATAGCTGAGCCGTCCGGAACCGCTGAAACGCCGCAGGAATGTCGTGGACTCGGATTCTCACCAGATGATCTATCCATCGTAAGGCTGAGAATCGTGGAGTCGAGGTCGGTTTTCTGGAGCAAAGGCTGAGACTTGAAGCTTTCGGAAGGTCTCATATGATCTTGATACATCTTGATACCTCAATTGGGCACAAGTAAAATCGATTTGTTTCACTATGAGTCAATGAGTGTAGATTCGGTTGGGTAAGTTTGTGCCTGTGCCTTTTCGATCCTTTTCGGACAAACACACACACAAATATATATATATATAAGAATAACATATCACTGATCACCCTTTTTCCCCAAGTGAAGCAGGCAAAGATGGTAAATACATTAACCACAATCACAAATTTGATGTACAGTCAATCAGCCAATGGACAACATCCTCAACTGTACGAGACATTCAAGGCAGTGCAGTCCAGTGGTCAAGAGGGCAGTGCACCTGACTTGACCCAACAGATGGGAGATGCTGCTGCCGGACCAGCCAGTGGAACTGAAACTCTTTTACCACATCCCAGGCAATAGAGTACATAGATGTACATAGAGTCATAGAGCCAGCCGCTCCATTAATGAGGGCAGCTTGATCCATCGACCTTGGGGTTTTCGGTTTGCCCGGACATGCGAACCACTCCCCAACCAACTCGAATCCAACCATGCGCAGCATCCAGGGACCCTGTGATTCAGTTGTTCAAGTGATTCCGATTCCCACTCGCCAGTTGATGCAATTTTTTTCCGCCCCAGTCAATGCTTCTGGGACCCTGTTGGACCCGATTGACATCGACGCATCGTCGGGTGTTTGACCGAGGCTCAACAGAGAAGACTTGAGACACATCAAAGCTATTGGAATCTCAGGCAAGCGATCGGCTGGGTCCCAAGTGGACGGGACTGGGATAGGACTGAAGAAACAGGACAGGTCCGGACAGGCCCCCCCAAATTATCAAACAAACCACCCACGTGCAGCTAGTATCCATCTTGGTAGTGGTTCATCAGGAATGATGAGATTTTGATTAACAGCCGAAGGAGAGGTTTTTGAGGCACGGGCAGATGTCCCACGCAGCCCGAGAGGACCTGCAAGAGTCTCACAGATCGAAACCAATAGTAGCATGTTGGCAGGGGCTGTGATCCAAATCTAAACACAGCATCAGGACATATAGCTAAAATGGTCCATGTCATTGGAGGTCTTCTCAACTGAAATGACTTTGGGGCTGGGTTCGGAGAATGTTTTTTTGAAAAGCCGCTCGCTAGCTTTGGTTGAAAACCAAGATTGCTTGTTGTCAGACTGTGATCACACAGACTGTGTCAGGTGTGAGTCTCCAGATTACCATGCCTCAAAATGGGGTGATATTCAATGGGTTCTCGCTTTCAACTCGTTTTTTTAGCAGAAGGCACTGGTCACCGACCAAATCCAGCGTGACCAACGTACGAACTATTTGGACTCCAAATTCTAGAGTTTCAATCCATTTCACCATCGATGAGGTAATGATGGCCTGCTTGGTGGCGCTCTACCGCAAGGGGCCCAATAGAGACTGTTGTGAGGTAAAACATATCCAGAAGCAGGTCCGTGGCGACCTGGGTGAATTCCCAGTCCGACCATCATCCCTTTGTCGATCCCGGGCCAAGGGCCACAAGCCGCACTGAGATGATAGCTTAACACCCCCAGCAATTCATGGATGTTGCTCGCATTTCTCACTCCCCGACACGCACCTACACCCACCGGTACCCATCAGCACGGGGTGCCTTGTGGGCGCGATTGGACCACAAGTTCGTGCGATGTGCGACATCTTTTCAACCCGGTGAACTGGCCGGGCTGTTCAACTGAGTGTCCATTTTTTCCTACCCAATTCTATTGGTGTCCCAGAGGTGTCCCTGCGTTCTTCCAGCAGGTTTGGTGCTTGGCTGTGCTTGGGGATTCCTGACATCCTTTCCATGTCAGTGTTTTTGTTTTTTTGCGCCTTTGCTCGGGTTTCATGTCATGTAAGCAAACAGATGTACGTTTGTGGTGTAAGTGATGCCAAGTGTTGAGAATTAATTAGATCGACTTGCAAGCTAGTTCCACTATGTTCCACTTATTCAATGGACCGTATATGATTAGGCAGTCTGAACAACAATTTCGAAACCTCTGTGTCGGGACGTTCACTGCTTTTGCTGCTTCTGCTCTTTGACACTGGTCACATGTCTCGCATGTTTCGAAGGCCCTCGAACTCGTGCTCCGAACTCGATGAGTTCGAGTTTGCCGTGTCACGGATGATGTCCCGACGGAGTCACTGAGGAGACGAAGGTCGGCACACCATGAATCACAAATCCTTCTGGAAGGCCTTACAGGAGCGGCAAAGGGCATCGCTGCTAGGAGCAAGAAGCTACTTGTAGCTTCTTAGTAGGTTGGAGGCCATCACTACTAATTGGGAAGATGTAGGAAGAAGCTAGTAGTAACAAGGTTTTTTTTGGGGTTCGAACGGCGGCCCGGCGCGGACCGGTCCGTCAGCGGACTTTGTTGGGGCTGGTGTATGCTGGTGTGCCAGATAAGCTGGCTTTGCTCCTGGTCGGAGTTTTCTCCTGGGCATCCATGGCGTGGTCCATGAGTCACAAACTTCATCAAGCTTCAGAAGATCAAAGTGTATCAGACCGCTTTCCTTAGTCAAGGAACGTCATAGTCCACTTCTTTATTTCCTCATGGGACAGTAAGATCACTCCAATTGGAGGATTACGAGCTCGACCGTCCCTGGGAGCGTCTCATGGACACGGTCGATGATGAGCAGACGGTCCGATGCTTGGTGCTAGTAGCGATGTCCTTGTTACTAGGAGAGAAGAGCTACTAGTAGTAATGCCCTCTGCTACTAGTAGCTTTTTGTTACTAGTAGAAATGCACCTTGTTACTAGTAGCTTCTTGTTACTAGTAGCGACGCACTTAGCTACTAATTACTGTAGTAGCATTCTTGCGACTAGTTTGCTTCAGGAATGTGTTGTGGTATTGTCGTATTGTAACCTATTTCAGGTCATGGCAAGTTCACTTCAGATACACCATGATCAGCACCAGGTCTTCAAGCCTTAGCGTAAAATGTGGCTTTCTATCAGAACGACGACATGTCAGAGCGACAGCAAAGCGTACTTTGGATTCCGTTGAACATCAAGGTGTTGTTCAAGTCAAAGTTGCAAAACGACTTCAGCATCACCACTGACCAGTTACTTTAATTACCCAGCCTTAGGCAGCCAATATGGTCGGCTCCTTTGCATACCAAGCATGATCCACTCAATGACCTATAGCCATATCTAGCCTAAACCTTTTGACGTCATCAATTCAATTTATCCTTTTGGTGATTTGACCCCAAGCTTGTTGAGACCCTAACATTAGGGTGACTGGAAGATAATTATATAATTGATTCAGACAGGCATTGCTGGAAAGATAAATGAAAGGAATCACTGGACACTAGTGAAATGCCACGGAAGAACTCACGCATCAAACGTTGTGCACAACTAGGACACATTCCTGCATGAACGAGTCTATCTCCAGAGTCCTTCAGGGTTTCACCAAGTGGACCACTGTGAGTATACAGGATCGACTCTGTTTTTTTGCTGGCTTTGTTTGGAAGAATGTGGATTCCCGAGCAGTTCCAGGGCGCCCCGTCTGCCATGTCCTCGTGTCCTCATGTCCTCCAAAAGGCCTGGGATTCCTACAACAGTAAGAACGGCTACGGCTATAGCAACAGCAGCTATAGCTATAGCTATGGCTACGGTGGAGGCGGAGGAAGAAGAGGAGGAGTGGGTTTGACGGCTGCGGCCGAGGGAAGCCTTCGCTGCAGGTTTGAATCAAAGTGAATCGAGTTGGGTTGAAGGGAGAGAGGGAAGACTTTAATTCTACAGAGGTGGTTCAGTTCAAGTCGTGATCTCAATGTGCGTTGGTTCAGGTTTCAGGCAGCAGTTTCTTCTTCAAAGTCATCCTTTATATGCAATATGAAAGGTTTTTCCAGTTTGCCACGCTTCATGATGGGTTTCAAGTTTCAACCCTGTGATTACATATCTCAACATATCTCATCTTTGAGCCGATCTGTTTCAGCACTCCGCCGTTCGGGGCTGCGCCTGCTGGGTCGCCACTCGGGTGGGGCCATCACTGGCCGACTGTCGCAGCATCCAGAATATCAGAGGCAGCACACATGGAGCACGAAGTGGTCACTCACGTGTCACACGGAGTTCGTTCTTTTCCCTAAAGGTGCCTTTTTAGCATGCAGGCCCCCGAAAGAAGTCACTTGTCAAGTTTGTGAACAAGCATGCAGATGTCAATAGGTCACAAGATCTAAAGCTACAACTCGGACCTAAAAAGGTACTCGTGGTGCATTTCCAGGATCAAAAGAGTCGGACCTCTTCGGCACTCCATGGGAAGGCGAAGCCTGTGACGATTTCTGTGTGAGTCACCAGAATCCATTTCTTCTGGAAGCTTTTGTAGGTCTTCTACCCATCCCAAGGTGTAGGATATTTGGGAAGCAAGTTTCAACGGACATTTGTTCTGGGGGGGGTTCCGGGTAGCTGGCAACACCAAACGCCGAGGTTTTATGTACGTTGGCATCGTATGTTCCGGTTTATATTTGTTTATTTACGGTCAATATATCCCCATGTCGTTTGCCAAATATTCTCCTGCACATTATATTGTGGTGTTTGACTCAAAACCGGGCCATTGGCAGCCTATACTTTGAGACATACCTTTGTCTACTGTTTGCCTGTATTTCCTTTGTCCCCTCGGTCTTTGCCGTGAACTGTGGTCAATGACAACACCGGACCCCGTCACGTCACATCGTGACCAGCGAGAAAGGACCAGGTCAAGCCGCAGTGCTTCAATTTCGCGTCAGATGCAGTTGCACACTGGGATGGTTTAAACATTGATAACAATTGTTTAAATTGAATTGAACATCTGAACATCTATGAAGGCCACAGCAACCAGGTTGGTGTCAAAACAGCATGTTTGCATGTGTTTCCATGTTTCCGCCTCTCCAGTAAGCAGCAGTACGCAACCATTTGCATTTACACCACGTAAACCAGGCGATCCGAGACCTTTTAGGCACTTGACTCACCGCCCTGCAGGACATGGTGTGACGGTGAACGTGATTTGTGACAGGATCCCAGGCGAATGGTGGATGCGAGTAGTCCACTGGCATGTGTGTAAATACATGTAAAGATTCCAGCGAGCATTGCAGCATGGTGTTGGGCATCTCGCTTGGACCCTCTAAGGTGCAACTAAGAAAATTTGTCGATATATACGAAACCTACTCAGAAGTGACGAAGCGATGAATCTTGGTGTGGTTCAGACAAACTCCTCGATGTTGCTGCTGGCTTGTTGTTCTCTCCAAGATGGAACTTTGAGAACGAGCCACCAGTTGTTTGGACACCTTGGAGATTGTTACCCACACGAAAGACACACATAAGCTCACATGACATCATCGTCTCCTCTTCGCGCCCACGCGCATTGACGAGCTTGCCAGTTGTGGACCTGGCACAGCATTCCATCTTTCACGGCAATGCATCCTGGTTGCTCCAGGCCAAGGGTCTTTTGGTTCTTCATTTTTCCACAGCCAGCTGGATTTGCTCCGGTTGTTTCACGGCTGATGCGGTTTTGCAAGTGTCGGATGGAAGTAGCACAACCCTATATAACTTGTTTTGTGATGTTTGTGAACATTGTGACGAAGGGGTCAAGCATTCAGCCGCACTTGTTCATGCGGCGACAATCTACCCGCAATCATGTCAAGGATGTCTAGGTCCAAGGACTTGTGGGGGACGAGGGAAGTCAAGGGACCCACAGTTTGTTCATATTTCTCTTTGTTGTACTGGCTGTGTCTTGTGAGCCTTCTGGCTTTTTTTGGTATGTTGCTTCTCATTGCTTACGCATGGTTCTGCATGAACTTTCCAGGCTGCGACTGGAAGTTGCTCCAAAGCCGATGGGCTCTTCGAGTATTGCCAGGACTGGGTGGCTATTTTTTTTCCGTCACCAAACACATTTTGGCATGACACCTCCACCTAGTCTTCCTCCGTTGCAGGACAGAGAAGTCTTGGCAGCATGCAAAAAGGATCTGCGGTTGACAGCAGATGAGGTGAGCATTGCTCGCTTGAAGCTCGACAAAGCCATTTGGGACATGTCAGTATTAAAGCTCCTAGTAGGTTGGAGGCCATCACTACTAGGGTGGAGGCCATCGCTACTAGGTTCCTTTTGCTATTAGGTTGGAGGCCATGTCACTATTAACGCCATTTGAGCTGCACGCACTGTAGGCCCGACCTTGAGCCGCCACACAATGCCACAAGCACCACATGAAACGGAGGGCTACACCTGGAGCTCGCATTTGCCACGGGTCCCTATTCTCGGCACAAGGAAGTATCCATTTCCAGGGCCGTTGGGTTTTGACAGATCATGATGCGGCCCAGGCATTGCTTGTACAGTATAACTAAAGTTAATTTGCCTTTGAAGCAAAACACCAGCAAGCACCAGGAAACTCTAGTAGTGGTTTGGCTCACTTGGAGCGCAGGGCTATAGTCGCAAGTGGATTCAAGATTGATGTGAGAAGCTTTCCCTCCAAAAAACAGACAGATTATATAGAAAGGACTAAGTGGAACATTGAAATGAAAGAAGACGTGTTTTTTTTTCCTCAAATGGTTTTACAATCTGTTCAACCCTGAGCAGTCCTATCCATTTGTTTATAATTTTCTTCAAGGCTTGGTGCTGGACGGAGTCGAATGACCAGGTCAGGGGACATTGGCTCCCGGGAACGGTTTGGCTCCCAAGCCATTCATCTCAGGAAGAGCCGGCCGGAAGTGAAGGCCGTTCAAGTCTCAGAGAAAGGACAGCACCGCCAATGCCTGTTCAAGAAAGAGATGATGTGTTTTTTGACGAGTTCTATTTGGGTACTATGTGGAAAAGGATTCCCTTAGCTTCAAGCTAAGTCCGCAATCACGCAAGGCCAGTGCCAGCAGCAGCAGCAACAACACCAACACCAACACCAGCACCAACCGGAACTGCGCCAAACGGAACAGCACCAGCACCACCATCAGCATCAGATTCACCAATGCTCGGACCAGGTCCACCTCAAATCACACATCTGAGGTGGGAACCAATGTAGCTTCTTGTTCCAATTCGAATTAGATTCTAATTATATAAATCCTAATTCTAGCTTAAATTCTAATACTAATTATTGTTTCTAATACCTTCTTGTTCCTAGTAGTAAGGCCAGGAGCCCCTAGTAGCGTCCATTGCTCCTAGTAGCGATGTCCGTCCACATCACACATCTGAGGTGGGAACCAACGGCAAGCGTTCAGCAGCTTGGACAAAATCGGTGTCGCCCCATGGAGTTGTGGCTTTTCTGAAAAAAGCGTCCTCCAAGGATCAAGTGCTGACGGTTTTTAAACGTTTTCGGCACCAAGAAGGGGTAAAGACGGTCAAGGCGCCACAAGACACCGACCGACCCAATCCACTGAAGAGAAGGGAGACCAAATTGGGGGATGCTGGGATGCTCCAAGTGGTTTGTGCTGGAAGTGCTTGGAAAGAAGAAATGGTTTTGGTGGTCATTTTCGGGTTCGATCTCGTTGGAGACCTTGTGCCAAATGATTCAGTGACACCCGAGACTTCCAGCCTTCAGGTGATGTTGGCCTTGTGCTTGGTCCTCGCGCACAACGACGAGGTGCAACTGAAGAGTGTGAAGCATGGGTAGCGGCTCCATTTCCAAGATTCCAACGATTCTGTTTTGTTTGTTCCCTTTGAACAATCAGGATCACCCACAGGAGGATAATAGCAACAAGCTTCACTCGACAAAGTTGGCATGTTGCTCTTTTTGTTTCTCCGATCATGCAGGATCAAAATTCGAGTGATCTTCCATTGGTGTGGCGTGCCTCCTTGCAAAAGGATTGTATAATTGACTGGGACCACGAGGACATTGGTTTATATATATATATATATAATGAACCCAAACTGTCCCCCTTGCCTGCCAATTCGATAGGGCTGTTGCCCGTTGTGCAGCCTGAAACCCAATGTCCCACCCATATGGCTCATCCAACACTCTCACAGCTGCCTCTAAAAGTGGGGCGTTCCGGAAGTAAGCAGCATGAATAGAGTAGTAACAAGTGCCACGCTACTAGGAACAAGTGCCTCGCTTCTAGTAACAAGTGCCTTACTAGTAGTAACAATGTTTGCTATTAGAAACAATAAGCTATAATAGAGTATATAGCCTGAAAGCAGACCGGTGGTGAGACTGCTGTGAAGCCAACTTGACAGCCTTTAAAACGTGGTGAATCATCTAGATGTTTTGCGCTACGTAATATATTGAGTGAGCATGAAGAGGGATTCAACAACTAAATTTGACACAACAGGCTGTCTTGGATATTCTTGCGGCAGGCTGCAGCGGCCATGCTGGAGGCAGACATTGAGGACAGAGAATTCAATCAGGAAGAGTAAATGAAACCCAATTGGTTCGGGAGGCTGCTGAGTTTTGACCCAGGCCCAAAATACTGCAAGACCAAAGGTAAGTTTTACTGTAAGAATTCAAGCATGTCCAGATGAGTTTTGTCTAGTGGAGGTGTAAATGTTGATATGTTTGTACTACGTACAATAATGCAGGGAACACTCAGATATGCAGGGAGCATTGAAAAGTGCAGGGCCTAACCTACCAGGCCTTATTTTTACAGCGGCCTCTGCTGAAGTGACCTATGAAAACAAATCTCGTCAGCCAGTAAAGACACCTTCGTCACAAGGAAGAAGGGTGACTACAACCATCTTGAGACTAGTAGTAACAAGTGCCACGATACTAGTAACAGGTGCCTTACTAGTAGTAACAAGAAGCTATTAGAAACAAGTGCCTTACTACTAGTAACAACAGCAACCGATCATACATTGCAACCGATCGTTTGGATGGAGCCTTTGCCGACGGGATACTCAAGTTGCTCCTTGTAGGGCCAAGTGGGGGATCACTGTAAATCTATTCGTTTGCCAAGTGGGGTTGTGATGAATGGCCTCAAGATGAATGACTTGAAAGCGCAGGAGTCAGACAGCTCCCTGAAAGATCCACTGTCTGATGCATGGAACTCAGCATCGTACCAGGTCAGAGCAACAGCGTGAGATGGTTGGTTGCACAGGGTAACATACTATTTCAAAGGGTTTGGACAGAGCTGGGGTGTCCAGTTTGGCACATACATATATAATCATACATACATATATCATATATATATATATATTTAAGTATGGGAATAAACCACTACAAAATGGGGAACCTAGGCACCCTGTGTGGTACCAATTTATAGAAGCACAAGTTCAAGATTGTTTTGGATGACCCCCTTCGAGGGAGACTGTGGATAGCCAGCATTTGGTGCAATTAAACATGACGTCATCATAACTTACGCTCTAGTGGAACAAGAAGCTACTAGGGGCTCCTGGCATCGCTACTAGGAGCAAGGA